GGGGGAAAGGCGGAAGTGCCGGACGGATGCCTGCGGCGTCCAAACCCCTTCACTGCGCCTGCCCGCGCCAACCACCCCTAGGCGCCGATTCTGGCTGTGCGTCTGTTACCTAGGGCCAGCTCTGGTCCCAGAGTTGGGCTCCCGACTAGGTGGGCTGGGGACCCCCTTAGGACGTGCAAGAGAGGCGACGCAGGTGCTCAGAGACAGTGTTTATTGGCTCCTTTGAAATCAGTCATGACAACTGGACAGAAGACCCAACCCCTCCACTGCGCCCACCCTTCCCCGTTCCTGCCTGGCGGCCACAGGAAAAAGCAGCTTCATGTGGGGCACAGGGAGACTACTCTGGGATTCACAGTAACCAGGAACAAAAACGGAAATAAATTAAGTGATACAGGGGAGGGAGTATAGGGAGTCGTGTTCCCCAAATCAGTGCATGAAGAGGGGTTACCCAGGGCCTGCAGCTGTGCTCCCCACAAGCTCCTTAGCCTCAGAGAGACTGTTCCGGGGCCCTGGACATAGAGATGTCCTCCACTTCCATTCTAAATTTGAGACTGCCTACATGCTCCTGTGCATCTGCCAGACTGAGCACCATGCATGCTGTGGGTCACTGGAATGAGGTGGAGGCAGTCGTCACTCAAGAGTCCACAGGCCCCAAGGCCCAACTGTGCTTGCAGTAGTGAGGTCTCACTCCCTCATTCCACCCGTACCAGCAGGGCATAGAGGAGTGTGGCCCCCTTCTCCTTGGTTACCCACTCAAGTTCGGCTGGGCTGAAGTGAGGGTCAGGAGGTTCTCTGAGGACAGCGGAAGGAGGGCCGGGGGTGTAGGAGCCAGGGCGCACACACACCTGGAACGCCACCTGTGCCTGGTGTGTCCGCTGGAATTTGGGGTCCCGGAATCTGTCCAGGCAAACAGCAGAAATAGGGTGGTGAGGCCTCTGGACCCAGTCACCTCTCCCCCTTGCTAACTGCAACCACTACACTGTTCACTCACACTTTATAGGGACTTGGCTCTAGCTGTTCTCTCTACTCTAAATGGCCTTCCTCCCAATGCCTGCTGAGCAAACTCCCTCACCTCCTTCTCCAGCCTTTGCTCAAATCTCACCTTAATGATATCTGCCCTGACTACCCTATTTAATATGCCTGCTCCAACCATACTTCTGATCCACTTCCCCCATTCCACTTTTTGTTTCCATAGTACTACTTGTCACCTTTAAAAATACTAAATATTTATTATACATAAACATTCTAGAGAGAAAATATAAGTTCCATAAGAGCAAGGTTCTCTTTTGTGTTTACTGACATAGCATCAAAATAGTGGCATTTGTTCAACAAATGTGTTTAGAAAGGGCTGGGTGCGCTGGCCGGGTAGCTCAGTTGGTTAGAGTCGTCCCTATATGCCAAGGTTGTGGGTTTGATCCCCGGTCAGGGTACATATAAGAATCAACCAATGAGTGCATAAATAAGTGGAACAAGAAATCGATGTTGCACGTGCTCTCTCTGTCTCTCCTTTCCTCTCTCTAAAATAAATAAGTAAAAATAACAAAAAGAAAGGGCTGGGTGGAGACGGAGGAACTAGCAAAACAAGGTGGGAAAGGGGAGAGCAAATCATGGAGACCCAAGTCGCTCTGGGGCCACCTCCCATATACTTACTGCACTTTGGATGCTAGGGTCTCTGCCCCAGCATACTGGAGGGAGGGAGAAAGCAGCACTGGAGGGGGCTGCTCCTCCCGAGGAGGTGCGCAGTTCTCGCCCGGCTCCTCAAACCCTCCCCTGGGCTCTCCCTTCAAGGGCCTGCAGCTCAGGATGGAGGCAGTACCTGTGAGGAGAACTGGGTGAGGGTAGCTCACAGGCTTTGGCCCTCAGGCACAGCCTGTTCTGATTCTGCCAGAAGCTACAGTACCTGCTCCTAACTCCCCTCGGTCCAGCACCCTCCGGATGGCTGCCACATTGCTCCCGTGATATGCCATGTGCCACTTCTTGGTTAGTGTCCCAGCCTCTAGGTGAGGATTTACTCTAGGAAGTGGGTAGAGAGGACAAAAGTTACTGGCTCCCCAAGGTCATCCCCTAGACATGCAGTTCTATAACCCTCTTGGGATCCTCTTTTCTCAAAGGGGCAAAGAACAGTAAGGGAGATACATGACCCTGCCCCATATATACCTGAGGTTAAACCTGCACCAGCCAAAGGGTAGGGCGTATTCCCGGGGAGGTTCCCCACGGCGCCTGTGGGCCTCGTCCCCTCGCATCTTTCGGCAAGACTCACAGTAGCACAGGCTCCGCTTCGGTTGAGGCAAGAAATAATCCTCTGTGGGAGAGAAAGTGCAGACTTGGTGCTATGTCTCCTGTCCTAGGTCTCAACCGCACAGCCTCCTCTGACTGGTCTCCAGGGCTCTGGACATGACCCTGCACTGGTCCAGGGAATGAGGCAGATTCTAGGGGGCTGGGGACTCACCAGGAAGCAGCAGCAGTTCTTGGAATCGGGAGCAAAGGGCATGGTACTCGCAGCTCTTGAGAGGGCTGGCAGCAGGCGGTGGACCCCAGCATACGCTCTCTTTGATCCCTGAGGGAGCAGAGGGGGCACAGGTCACAGGAGATGGGTCTAGAATTATGGGGTGGGGTAGGAACCTGGTCCCTTTGGGCTGGCTCACCATCCACCATGTCAGCTTTCTCCATGTCCCCTTGGGTTCCAGTACTCTTCCAACTGGCAGCTCCTGGTTCAGGGCTCACAATTGTCACCTGCAGAACAAAGGGGTGGTCAGCCAGAGTGTCACTAGCCTCTAGAGCCTGCTGATCCCTTCCTTGGACCACAGACTTCCCCTTTACTTGGACAGCCATCTCCCAGGTATTCCTTCCTCCCTGCCTCCATTGCCACTAACCTGCTCACACTGCCCATAGAGGTCCACAAGCGCATGGCAGGGCTGGGGTACATCTGACACAGCCACCCCCTGGTCCATCCCATTGACATGGAGATGCAGTCCCCCAGAGCTGTCGAGCCGCAGTCCCAGGATGGTGCCTTCAGGACATGTGTCCAGATTTGGCCCAAACTTCTCACAGATCTGGGAGGGAGAGACCTACTGTCTTCCCAGAGATCAGACTCCCACCAGAAGCAGCCACCCTCACCCTTTGCTCTGTTTCAGGTTGCCAGTCTCTGGGCCTTGCCTCCACACCTGCCCACTGTCTAGGCTCTACCCCCTGCTTCAATGACCTAAACCCCACCTCCCCCTTTCCCCACTGCAACATGCTCAATGGCAGAGAACAGGAGAAGGCAGCAAGACAAAGACTGTCCAGATGATACTCATGCTCTTGTCTGAGTCCATTCCCTACGGTGCCCCTTCATACCCATGATCCTATCTCCAAGTTTGGGGCCCCTTTCCTCCTTTTTGGCCAGCCCCTTCCTATTCAGAGACCTAGCCCCTCACTTCTCCCTGCTCTCTACCCACCTTCAGCCCATTGTGGAAGACCCCATGGCCCCGCAACAGCCAGGCTGCCCGTTTAAGGGCACAGGCAGAAGCAGGGAAGTTAAGCCTCTCCGGGGGGCAGGTGATGACTCCCAGGACAAGGGAAGATGTCCACTGCCGGTTCAGGAAGTCTATCCGCACCTGGGGGAGAAGGCGACTATTCCCCAGTCATGGCCTCCCCACCCACCCAGCACACCCATGCTTCTCACACCAGCCAGGAAGGGAAGATGACACTTCCCAGAGTGTGGCCTAGGATGCTGCCCCTTCTAATACTTGGAGGGACCAGAAACTGAAATTCAGTTATTTCCTTCCCTCTTTCAGCCTTGGTCTTGCTGTTGACTCTGTAAGGATTCTTGTCCTTAGAGTTCCTTTCCCCTGGTTAACAGTGACATCTTTTAGTTTGCAACAGATCGGCCCTTCCCCTGGAAAGCCCTCCCTACTCCCACATACAGGATCAGACATCTCCCATGGAATCCCCCAGCTCTTCCCTACTGCTTCCCTCACCAGTCACCAGTAGGCACTTCTGAGTAACTGACCTACAACACCCACCACAGGATATGAACAAAAGCCCGGAAAGCTCATTCAAGGGACTTGCCTTTCACTGTCCTCAATCTGGAAAGGCCTTGCTCCAGAAGGGTTGTCCCTGGGTCACCATGAGCAAGAGTTTTTGGGAACAAAGAAGGGATAAGGAAGGAAGGCCCACCTGGACCAGCAACTGGGGAACCAGAGGCTGGCTGATGACAACAATGCCCTGATTGTAGCTGGCCACCCGTGTAGCTGTACGGTTTCCATTGGACAAGAGGATATTCTTCCCATGGTTCTCCAGGAACTCAAGGGCTGTAGGCATAATGGCCACTTGATCCTGACCCTGGTTTGGAGAGACTGAGCTGCTAGGGTTGCCAATGCGAGACCCAAACCACCCGATTAGAGTTCAGGGCTTGCACATAAGCTTCTACCCATCCAGGACAGGACTGG